TTTCTATAAGTTAGGAAGTAGAGGAAAGGTTGTTTTGTCTATCAGCCATGCCATGATACATGGGACTTTTATTTATGCTCCATTCAGTGGAATGAGAAACATTGCTCAGAGTAATTTTAGGACTGAAAATTTTTATCTTCCAGGTTTTCAAGTAGAGAAGAAATTAATGTTGATGGGATGCAGTGATTCCTACCATGACTAGAAAGGCATAATTCGTAACCATTCCCAGAGACCAATAAAACTGCATATCATCATTTGCATGTTGTTATTAATGCTTACTGTTCTCTTGAGCCTCTGGACTTACTGATATAACTTCTATAGAATTGGGACATTTTGGTTTTCTCATTAATTTTTATAGGCTACTTACATCCTGTTAATTCTTAGTTACTAAAATGTTATTCAACAATTGAATCTCTAAAACTGCTTTTCTTAGTATTACTGGAAATAGATTCAGATTGGATGTTGAAACAAAAAAGGTATAGCAGAGATGATTTCAATCATTACATTTGGTATATATGATTTCAACAATTATATTTGATAGGTATCTACATGGAGCTTGTTATTTTGGGAAGCTTTGATGATGACAGTAGTAGGTTTAGAAAAGTTTCTAAGCGGGAAAAAATATTACTAAGGTTCTTAAAAAAATGAAGCCATACAAATTCCACATGCACTTTGTTGAATATGTGAAATCCTTATATTACAAGTACAATTTCCTGACTGTGTATATGGACATTTTTTCAGTATGGTCAATGCTCAAAGTTATGTGTAGAAATTTTATACTAAGAGAGTCTCTTAGTAAAAGACATACTCTTGCATGAAATGGCAGAGCTTCTGCATGGCAACATAGCTAGCAAGATCAACAGAAAGCCCACGGATTGGGAGAAGAGTTTCACTAGCCATACAATGGACAAGGGTCCGTCTTTCTTTCTGGTGGGGGGCTGGGGATGGATGGCCTTCCTTCCTCTGCTCCCTGAGAAGGAGTGAGGTTGTCAGGGTTCTCCTCATACTGGACTGTTGGTTCCTGGGTTGTCTCTGGTCTGTGATCTGCAGGAGGAAGATATCTGCTCCTTTTCAGTTCTTGCTGATGTTGAGTAGAATCTGCTTGCCCACTGTGTCTGACGCCTTTGTCTTGGACTCTCTGTGTTGTAGGTATGGCTGCTATGGCCGCCACTGCAGCTGCTGCAGTCTCTGCAGCCTCAGCTGTGGCTGCCAGCAAGTGCTCAGATCTGTCTCCTTGCCTGGATTTTCCCTCTCTGGCCAAACTCTCTGTACTGTGATGGCACACTTGGTGTTATTCTCTGACTTAGGACAGTTCACTGGAACACTAAAACTGCTTTCTATGCAAGAGTTTGTTTAGCCTCCAGCTTCTCCTCGCCATCTTCCTGGAACTTAAGTCACATTTCTACTTCCAGCTTTTGGTTGGTTAATTGTACATGAGATTTTCATTGGTTATTGCACTCAAGTTGGTTCTAAACTTAGACTTTGAAGCGCAGCTTCTTGAGTAATGAGGATTATAGCATGAGCTACTCATACCTGATTCATTATGTTCTTTTACTGTCTAAAAAAGTTCTGTTTCTATTATCAATTAAGAAATACAATGTATGAAATGACTAATTTCTTAAGAGTACTAATATAACAACATGCATAAACTTATAATACATTAGCTTTTGTCTCCTGTTAGTGTCCAGAATCTAGTTCCTCAAAATAGTACATGTAATAGATAGGAATGAGAATTTTAAAACATTTTCTTTCCAGTAATGTTTTCTGTTCATTTTATCAGAACATCAACATTTCAATTCTTTTTTTTTTTTGGTCATGGGGCTTGAACTCTGGACCTGGGAGCTGTTCCTCAGCTCTCCAGCTCAAGGCTAATGGTCTACTACTTGAGCCACAGTACCTCTTCCTGTTTTCTGAGTGGTTTATTGGAGATAAGAGTCTCAAGGGCTTTTTCTGCCTGACTGGGTTTGAACTGCGATCCTCAGATGTCAGCCTCCTGAGTAGCTAGGATTACAATTGTGAGCCACCGGCGCCTGGCTCAACATTTCCTTTCTTGTAGCTTCATGTCTCAGTATAGGATTAATTTATTTAGACCAGTTCCTGCCAATCCCTGAAAACTTCAATTTTAAGAGTTACATGTTTATGTATACTAGTATTTTATAAATCTTCTCTTTAAAAAATATGGCAGCACTGCTTTTGCTTCAAATGAGTTAGCCTATGTAAATCTTCATAGGATGTAAAATAATCTGATGCAGGAAAGAAATCTGAAAACAATTACATATGTGTTTCCTGTGAGATAGGCTGGTTGTTGGAAACCTATGTCATCCATGTCAAGAAACAGCTATTTCCTCATGCTCAGAAGACATTGTGTCATGTTAATACCTAGAAAACAAGGATCAAAATAAAAGTTTCTGTTAAAAACAACAATAAAGATAAACCTCTTGTTTACATATCTTGGAGTTCATTTCACATAGCATTATCTTATATAGTCTTATTATGTAGCTATTGAGCTATTCTGCTCATCTGCTAGAACTATCCTACTATATACTAATTATTACAAATGAGGGAAACTATGGGATCTATGTTTTTGGGGACCTGGCTTACCTGACTTAATATGATTTTTTCCAAGTTCTTCCATTTCCTTACAAATGAGGTAGTGTCATTCTTTCTGATGGAAGCATAGAATTCACACACACATATGCAATTCATACACACACACACACACACACACACACACACACACACATATACCACATTTTCTTGATCCATTCATCTACTGAGGGGCATCTGGGTTGGTTCCATATCTTAGCTGTGGTAACTAATGCTGCAATAAACAGTTGTGCTGGTAGCTTTATTATGGCCTTGTTTGTGGTCATTTGGGTAAATGCACAGAAGTGGGATTGCTGAATCATATGTTTAGTCTTTTGAGGAACCTCTATACTGTTGATTTTAATATACTATGTGATTTCTTTTTTCTTTTGTATTTCTTTCCCCTATGGTAGATCCCCTGTTGTCACTGTATTTGATTTCGGTACCCTGGGTAAAATCTATATCTATATCTATCTGAATTATGGAAGGGAAAGGGAACAACAAAATGATAGACAAAGGACAAAGGGTGAGCAAACGCAACAGCCATACTTGCAGGACAATATATTGAAAATGAACTGTACAACTTGGGGGGAGGGGTGGGGGGCAAGTAAGTGAGAGAAAAATGAGGGAGAGAGTAACAAGTTCAACAAAAATGTACTCACTACCTTCTGTATGTAACTTTAACCCATCTGTATATCACCTTGACCATAAATTTTTTTTTTTTAAAGTAAAGGTTGTTGTGGAAGCTTGCTTTGGTGTCAGGTATGGTGGCACATTCCTGTGATTTGAACTCGAGAGATGCAGACAGAAAGATCATGAGTTTGAAGATCTTGAGTTGAAGTCCAACCTAGGCAAGATCCTGCCCCACTCCCAAAAAAGAAAGGAAAAACAGAAGGAAAGGAAGAAGGAAAGAAAAGAGAAAAGAAGAAAAAAAGAAAGCAAGGAAGAAATTTGTCAATTTATATTCCCAGATATTTCATAATAATTATTAACAAACTATGCAATATGATGATGATATAAGAAATATATGCAGTAAATCCTATATTCTTTACTCTAGTCAGACTGGATATCTAAGATACAAATATATTGATTTCTCTTGAGAAAAATTTTCCCTTTTATTATAATATGTATTTATTGAGCAAACATTTCCAGGTGAAATAGGTAAATACGCTAATACAAAATTCAAAATACAGTTATTAATTTTCATGTGCTAAGAACCAATGTGCCATATGCTCTATCAAATGAGAGCTGAAAGCCCATTGCTCATAGCTAGAACTTCCTGTCCTCAAATACACATCCTACAATCTTTATCTTGTCCTCTTAATCCAGCTGTTTGCTTGTGTTGTAAAGCCATTGTTCACAATGTTTCTACTCTCAACTTGTTTTTTACTCAAAGAAAGTGTTAGACACAGAATTAGAAATATGGCTAAGGATACTTGTCATAAATATCCAAATAGTGAACCAAAGGAAAAGCTTTAAGTAATGAGAAGATATAAATAATAAAGCACTTTGAAAGGAATGGAGAATTAAGCCTAAAAACCACATTGTTGTGAGAGAAAATGCTGCAAAAATAAATTAATTAGTGACAATAGGAGCTTACATATCACTACTGGGGCTCATTTAAATGGATCTGTAGGCATTTGCAGTGTAGTGAAATTAACAACTATAAAGTTGAGTTCTAGCCCAGTGCTATTTTGTTGTATCTGTTCTCACTTGGTACCAAACTCAAATGCTGTATTCTATTTTAATCCAATGCATAAGCATAAAAAACAAGACCAATGAATCATTTTCAAACAGTGTCAGATTGATGGTCTTTTAGAAAATACACAATTATGTATAGTTATTATTAAGGAGTTGTTCAGAACTCCATAAGCCATGTAATGAGCACAATTCTTGAACAAAGGTACTCCTTCCTTCACTTTTCCCCACGTTCCACCTCTTGTCTCTGCCCATAAGTTACATAGTTCATATTTTACATAGTGTATATTGAATACCTTGACTGCATTTGCTTACCCTTCCTCCCTCCATTTCTCTGAAATTGATAACCCTCAATGAAAAAAACTTTTGGTGCTACTGAGGTTTGAACTCAGGGTCTTGAGCTTACTCAACACAACTTTATGTCTGAGCCTCACCTTCAGCCACATTAATTTTAGTTTTGCTTCAGATAGGATTTTACACTTTTATATGGAAATATTCCAGGACCATGGACTTACTACCTACATTTACCTTCTGGCTGTGCCTAAAGACATGTCTTACCACTCCAAATATTCTGAGAGATTAGGGCCACATTAAGTTATCTTGATCAGAGAGGCCTCAAATCATGATTTTGCTATCTTCACCTACCAGGTAGTTGCGATAGCCACCATACCTGATCTCAAGCTGATGGATTTCTTTTTTTTTTTTTTTTTTGAAGAAACAATAGTTTATTTTTCTAACCAAAGTGACCAAGCCGTAAATCTTAAGACTTCAACAAATGTTACATCTTACTATTTTCACTGAACAATGACCTTCTGTTTTGATTATTTCTGGGGAACAATGTTTTTGCTTCTCCAGTGGTTTCCATTTGCCAAGTAGCCACAACAGACAGGCTTTACAGGGTGCTTACTGCTTTCAGAGGATTCTATGAGATGAATCCTCATTTCCAGTGCAAGGACTGTTGGCAATGTTTCATTGAAGTCCATCCACTGGGACTTCCCTATCGCGGCTGGCCCAGGAGTCCTGCTTTGGCTGCTAGGGCTTCATTCTGCTGAATATGATATTTCTGAAACCTCATAGATATTCTTTGTGTCATTTTTAAATATTTCTGTAAGCAATGTTCCGAACAGGTAATCTCTTCAGGTTTTACATCTCTTGTTGTGAAGTCTTTAACACAGTCTAAAAAGCAGGTTTCTGTAAGTTTATTGTAGGTTCCCAGGAATTCTTTAAACTGTTTTATCTGATCAGATTCTGGTATTTGTGCGGCCATATTCTTTTGATATGTTTATTAGTCACCTTTTCTGATGCATGAGTTTTCTTTCTGTTCTGGAAATGAAGGTGTCCAGCCTTTGCTTGAGTCTCCAGCCAGGCCTGTTTTCTTACTTAATTACAAGCTCTCGCGTCAGCCGCCAGTACGCGGTCAGGGAGCTGCGAAGCCTGTCCAGTCAGGGGGCGACGGCCGAGGTCCGGGCTGATGGATTTCTTTCCAACTTATCTTTTCATATTTACACAGACACAATGCTTCATCTTACTCAATAAACTTTTAGGCTTCTCTAAAGACAAAGCACTATGCTTATGTGAATGCTATTTGTTAGAAATGTATAATATTTAAAAGTGGTGATTTATTTATTTACTTACAGTATTACCAATAAGAGTCTATAGATAATGTCTATTCTACATTCTTCTATACTCCCCAGAATTATTTGTTATTGCAAAACTTTAAAGCACAGAAACATACATACATATTATAGAAAGTAATATTTTGGAGAAAGCCTATTTAGATTTTCTAATAAAATTTATATTCCTTTTAACCTTTGGGTAGAAAAAATAATTCCTAGAATATAAACTTTTGAATATATTTTCCTCATGAGATTATAAATTTCTTGTAGAGAAAGGAAGATTTTTTTTTCTTTGTGACTGTTGAATGCATAAACACATGTAGGTGTTCATTGTTCTTTTTATATGGAATTAGACTTTATAAAGATTCCTCAATATCTCCTGTGGCAGAAGCTAAATTTTTGGCTACTTCCAGAGGTGAGAACTCATTACTGGCCATTTCATCTCCCACAAACTAACTGTATTGGTTAAAGCTGATGATGCCATATGCATAAGGATCTAAGTTGAATCTCAAATTTATGATGCTCAGAACTTAAATTATCAACTATGGCCAAATTACATGTCACAGTCATCTGCTTAATTCATAACTATGGCAGTTTCTTGACTCATCATTCTCCTAATCTTCATATCCAAATTCAAAGGACTCAGCTAATTAATTATCTTTCAACTTTATTATGTCTTTTCAGTGTCTAGGTTCCACTTGGTCTGACACAGAGATTTCTGACTGGTGTTGCTTTAATAGAAACTTCTTGAAATATATAGCTTCAGTGAACAACCTGGGATTCTATTATTAATCCCCCTACTCCTATTAATCACATAAAATATACCTTTGAGCCTTCGAAATTATGAGTAACTGGTAACTATTTCAAAAACTTTAAAAAATTTTTCCTCTTTATATTCACTTCATACTGAACCAACAAGGAGTATTGGTTCTCTGAGTGTTAATGTGCAAAGGCCCAGGTTTACTCTCTTGCCTTTTTTATGATGAGCACTTCAGATTCTATTATGATACAAATTAAAGTAAAAGCCACTTACTTATTTTATTTGGAATCATATCAAAAATTTTTTTTGAGATAGCAGTGTTCTACTAAGAAGTTTTTCCAGTACAACCTTCTCTTAAGTTTAAGACAAATATAAAATATATGTGAATTTCTGAGTAATTGTTGGGTTTTAATATAGTTAAATTTACATGAAACTTCTAAGTTAGTATGATTATTTGAACCAATAAAGGTTAATCCAGGCAAACAGAAGCAGTGAACTCAATTGTTATTCAAATAGAAATAATAATCTCAGTGAAAATGTCTTGATACAGTATATATTCTAATAATCATAACACAAATAAGACCAATGCAGTAAGTGGAGGCAAGACAATGTTTAAATTTGAAAAACAACAACAACAAATAATATCTTGCATGTTTCCAAATACGATAAACCAATTGATGACATTATGGCTATATAACGTTCTATATAACTATGATACATATCTAATTTCTTTTAGATTTTTAACATACATGATTATTGCTTACAAAATGACAGTTATTGACTTTGGTGGAACTAGTTCTCCCTTCTTTGGCTTGAACAAATTTCCATTTTAAAAATGATTTGATGGTTTAAGGGCATGATTATTTTATTTGGATTTTTATGTTTAATATCTAAATTACTATCATCAGTGAAATTTAGAGTTTAACTTTGCTATAATCAAATAGCACTAGGTATTATGATTAATTTTTATTACTTCTTGTAATAGTTTGACAATTATTATATAGTTAGTTTTATGTAATTATATGGTTAGTTTATGTCATTCTTATAGTATTTTAATGCTATTTCTTAGATAATTGCTGCTTAAATTTTTTCATTATCTTTAAATAGTTGTACAATGAAAATATCAGTTAACAAAGCAGTTTATGACTATAATGCATCTTAATCAATGTACCCCTTCAACATTCTCACCACCCTTTGGACTCATACTTTCCCTTACTTTTTAAAAATTTTGTGGCATTATACAATGAATGAAAGGAAGGTGAGGTACAGAGGGATTACAGTCACATACATGAGGTAGTGAGTACATTTCTATTTGAACAGTGTCACCCCCCTTTCTCATTCTCTCTCAGATTTTCCCCACACGACCCTCCTCCCCTTCAAGTTGTATGGTTCATTTCCCATGAAATGTCTAGTGAGTATCACTGTTGCATTAGTTCACATATAAAACGAATTCTTAACTGCATTCTCTTTTCCTTCTTCCCTTCATTCCTCTACTCTTTTCCTCTTAGTCCCAACTACCCTCTTGAACATATCCATTTCCTGGTTTGGGGGGCTTTGAGCTAATCTTTCTTTCTAAAATATTATACCATTTGAGCTTTCATATAGTCTATTATACTTAATTTAATTCATTTGTAACCAATTGTTTACCACTCAATGTGTTTACTTACAGATTTATAGGTACAATCTATCACAAATGAGGGAAAATATACAACCTTTCTCTGGCTCTAGCTCACTTACTTTAATATAATTTTTCCAAGTCTTTCCACTTCCTTATGAATAGTACATTAAAGAGAACTACTATATAACCCAGCAATCCTACTCATGGGCATTTATTCAATAGAACACAAATAAGGTTACAATAATGCAACCAGCAAAGTTGTGCTCATTGCAGGACTGAGTAATTCACCATACGCAAGATATGGTATCATTCTAGACTTTCCTAAGTGGACAAATGGATCATGAAAATGTGGTATACGTACATAATGGAATTTTCCTCATCTATTAGAAAGAATGATATTATACCATTTATAAAGAAATAATTACTGCTTTTTAATTTTAAGAACCTGCATTATTGCTTAAATAATGTTTGAGAACCTGGAAAAATTTAGAGAAGAAATTTGTGATGATGAAGATACATGTACTACATTCCTTTTTTTTAATATTAAAACAATACTATGCGTCAGGTGTTTAAACAACAGAAATTAATTTTCTCAAAATTCTGGAAGTAGAGGGTTATTATACAGTTGTTCCTGAGAGGGCTTTCTTTCCTGGCATAGCTTACCTTACCATCCACTTATGGCTTCTAGTTTGGAGGTGTAGTGGTGATGTAGGGGTGGAGAGACAAAGAGACAGTAATAGAGACAAAGATGAAAAACAGAAACAGAGGAAGACAGAGAGAGAACAAGACAGAGGAACAGGCTTGTTAATATCTCTCATCTAAGAGCAGTGCTCCTATCAGATCAGCACCCTATATTTATTACCTCACTGAAATAAGGAGTCTGGGATAATTAGGTCTTGATTTCCCTTGATTGCTTCCCTAGATAGTTAGCTTTTCCATTAGGTTTAAGTGTCCTTATCTGGTTTGCTTTGCTTATGTATAACACTAGTTAGGTTCAATTCCACCCACCTTGGTTTGTTTTGGCCTATATAAGCTTTGTGTTAGCTGCATTTGAGGCTGCTGGTCTTTGAGACATGAGTCTACCAGCAGTCCTCTGGATCTCCCAAAAAGCCTCCTAAAATTTGGCCTTTTAAGTGATGGCTTCTGTTTCTTGACACTGAGTTTCCTTACAACATTGGGGGGCTCATCTGGGATCCAGTCAGCGAGATCTCAGCACCAAGGGGAGGACTTGGGTTTCTTGAAGCCACATTGGCAAAGGACCTCAGCAATTCCACTTGCTAAACGATGGGAGTCTCCAAAAGACAGACCGTTCTTGAGACTTTTCTCAAGGCACAGTGGTTCTTCCATCATCCCCACAGCCAGGATTGTGGATGTCGGATATGCCAATAAATCTGCAATTTAGCTGCTCAGAAGACCTCTGGAGTAAGATTCTGTTTGTCTCCATTTTGTTTGTATGTTTCCTGGTATATGGAGATCAGTCGATCTGGAAATTGAAGGATAAGGGGAGCAGATGTGCTTGAGACCTGCCCTTCTTCCATACTCATGACCTGAGAAGGTTGTCTATCTGTGGTAGGGTGAGAGAATACCAGGCATCTGGTGGTCTGTGGACCAAGCCATCTGGTGTTTGGCAGTGGTGGGTGAGAAACTAACTGGTGTCTGGCCATGGTTGCAGGTCTGAGGACTAAGTCACCTGGAATCTGTTTGCTGTGGTCAGAGGCTTTGGGGCCAGGCTAACCTGGTGTGTTTCTGTCTTGTGGACCCTTGTTTTCTGAGTTTTTGTTGTTTATTTGGACATCTCTGGGAGAATAAAAGTTCCAGCCTCCAGCTGGGACTGGTTGGGGGCCTGCTATGTCTCCTTTCCCCAAGTTGCAGCATTTAAGAGGTGGGCACAAAAGGGTGCCTAGTTTGGACATCTTGCTGGTCCTGCTAGTGTTAAAAGTGGTAAAGTGCTCATGTCTATAATTGGATAAAAGACAGTCAGGCCAGTTTAGTTTGACCAGACTCCTGTCCAGCCTTCTCCAACTGAAGGTATTCAGAGGTCAGTTGGTATGATAATACCTTGTTAAACAAGCAAGACCTGGAGAAATGAAGCCCAGCTAAAGTGTTTTATTAAAAAGTTTGTCTTAAATCTTGGTCATCTGTAAGAATAAGAGATTATGATCTTGCCACTAAAATTCTGGAAAATGTACAGGTGTACTCAATTTTTCACACTTTAAGATCTTTGTGCACAAATGTATGTGAACATATTCAAGATAAAAAATTGTCAGCATGCTGTGGAAAAAAACTGGGTAAGTTCTAACTGAAACCACAAAGGTAAATGGGTGTGTTTAAGTTTAAACTCCAAAGAAGGTCATTAGGTTTGAGTGTTAGCAAATTTCTCAAAGGATTATTACATTTTTTTTGTTTTTTGTTGTTGTTGTTTTTGGTTGTGGGGCTTGAACTCTTGGCCTTGGCGCTTTCCCACAGCTCTT